CCTGGGGAGGAAGAGGGTGGGAGAATAGGAGTAGTCCCCTGATATCATTGATTCTATCACTCTGCCTCGGTTCTCAGCACATCCTTTCCCTCTGTCAAGAGGAAATTTTTCTCCCTGGAATTATGGTGGATATTCTCGAATTCCATCAATTCTTGGCACCTCTGGTCTTTCTTAGGTGAGATCAATTTACCCATGTTCTAAAATGGATTTAACACAGCAGGTATCATTCTAACACATAAATCAAATCATGCCACCTCCTTGCTTCAAACCCTCCATGGCTCCTGATTACCCTTAGAAGAAAATCCAAACTATTCCATGTGCCCTTTTCAAAGCCATTCCTGCCCCTATATCACCCCCCAGTAAAGAGGCACCAGGGCCCTCCTGTTAATTCACTCACTCCTGCCATGTCTCATGGTCTCTGCCCCTCCTTGTGTGACTTTGGGAAGTGATTTCCCTCTCCCAGTCTAAGTTTTCTCATCTGAGAAATGGGATAATAACACTGCTGACCTCATAAGGTCACCGGGACTCAGTGGAATAACCGCAAAGCATTGAGGGACATTCATTTGCTTTTTCCAAAGCTTTTCAGCCTTCTTGTGGGGAACCTTGGCAAACAGCTCCCCCAAGGATTCAACCTCCAGGGATCAGGGAGTGAACTGGGTACAACAGGGTGATAAGGAATTCATGTCCCATAGACAGAGGGTCCACCGCTTGGACTAGGGATCAAATGAAACTTCCCCTTCTTATTGGGAAAAACTCATTCAGAAATTCTTTTTTTTAAAAACTGTGTGAACTACACCCAATGTAGGCCCTGGGTTTCCAGCTTTGAGAGACCTCTGATCAAGGGGACAAGTTTATTTTATTTTATTTTATTTTTTGTTTAGAGAAAGAAGTTTATTGAGGAGAAAAAGAACAGAAATAAAGTGGGACTCCCAGGCCATGAAACCAGGCCAGGGAGGGGCAAGGAAAGCCAAGGGGACAAGTTTAGATAAGCAACCTCCTCCATGTCACAAGAGGCCTCTGTGATTTCTGAATTTGGTGATGTCAGTGGGTGGATATGTCATGGGGAGGGGCAAGTTGACCAAGCATTCACCCTCCCTTCCTATCTGCCTGCAGGATTGGTGGGATGCAGACCCCAACCATGACATTTCCACCTGCTTCCCCTCTGACAAGTCATGCATTCTGGCTTACTTCTCAAACCTGCTCATCATACATCTACTGATTATTTGAACTGCCTCAGAACCTGCCCCAATATTCCTTTTTCCTCTTAAGTGTGTTGTTGATTGCCACTGGCAATTCTGACCCTTATACTAGAGAGCTCTCTGATTCTAGAATGTTCAGGCAGAGGGGTGAATAGTCTGAGGATCTAGAATGCCAGGCATTTTAAGATTCTGAAAGTTCATAATTTCATGATCGCATGATTCTGAGTCTTCCGGGTTCCTGAACTCATGGATTCTCTGAGCATGTCACTGCTGCCAAGGTCTTCTCTAATTGCCCATGACAGACAATACAGTGTCTCCAGGCAGAAACCATGATCCCTCTAATCCAGCAACCCAGGCACAGGGCCTACCACCTGCAGCCACCTGGCTTTTCCTAATGACTTAATGAGAAAATCAGAATTAATTGGAACTGGCACCCAACACTCACAGGACTCAGCGTGGCCGGCTTGACCTCCATATGTTAAAGTCAGGCATCCCTGGGCCCTATTCTGACCCATTCTAGACACCAACAGGTGTGAAACGTGAGGCCTGAAGTTTCTTGACAAGGGAGGTGGCCGTTGTGACCTAGTTCTGCAGGTTGAGTCAGCCTGCCCACCTTCCCTGGAGAGAGTACACACCATCCCGGGCTCTCATCTGCCGCTTCCCCTCTCTAGACCTCAGTCTCCCTTCCTTTGTTGGAGGAGCTCAGCTTTACAGTTTGCTGGGGGTTATGTGTAAATTGATCAGTACATGAGTTGTGAGTTGTGTTATAATCTGTCCTTGGGCATCATGGATAAATCCCCTGAAGGAGTATAGCTGTCTTCTCATTTCCATAGCTGTTACTACAGAGATTATCCTGTTTTGTATTCCAAACCCTTCCAAGTGAGATGGTTTTTTTCCCCCAAACCCTAACAAGGTGAATTAACAAGCAACCTGATAGATTTTTAAAAGTATTTCATGATAGTTTTCATATACTTTGAAGACATTTGTGTTTCATTTTCAAAAACCATTCATGTCTTTTTCCCCCTTTTCTATTAGATTGTTGGTCCATATTGATTTTTGGAAGCTTTTTACATATTAAGGAAGTCAGCCTATTGTCTATTGTGTCTTGGAAAAGTTTTCCTGACTTGGTCTACTGACCTTCTAGCATTTTGTTGTGTGTGTGCAAATATTATATTTGTATGTAGTTATTAAACTTTTAATGAAAGGCTTCAGGGTTTAATATCATGCTTCCAGATACTAGGATTATTATTATTTAACTCCCATGTTTTCTTCTAGTAGTTTTATAGTTTCTTTTTTTGTGGGGGGTGGGGAGTTTGGGGAGAATCCATCTGGAATTTCTTTTGCTTTTAGCCACCTTTAAAATCTCTGCCTGAAATCGGATGGTTGTATAGAAAACTGTAGTAAGTAAACTATAGTGTGATTGCTGGAGCCAAGTGGCTTCAAAATGCTGACTTTGCCATTTTTCACTGTGTACTCTCAGGGAAGTCACTCAACCCCTCTATGTCTCAGTTTGCTCATCTGTAAAATGAGAGATATTAGTGCCATGTGAAATGAGAAACTTTCTTCTTTTTACCTAATCAAATGCCTAGAAGACCATCTGTCACTTAGCAGCTGCTATTTCTGTTTTTATTTGCTTTTCTTTGAGGAGTCAAACTACATTTTTCTGTGAATAATTCTTTCAGCATAGCCAATTAGCAAGCGACAATGATTCAGGAACATTATGAAGCATTTTACCCACATTAATTGAATCCTTGTAACAACCCCATTGGCTAGATAGGGACTTTGGAGCCCAGGGAAGATATTTCCAAGGAACAAGGTTGGGGTTAGACTCCACACTCTGTCCACTGCCCTGACCATAGCCTCCCTTCTTCCTGGCCAAACTGGAGGAGTTCCAGTAGGCTCTATTTAACTGGCTTTTAAGTACAGACTTTGAATCATTGAGATCAAGTCAACATCTTGGATACCCAGAACTGGTCATTCCTGTCCAGGCTGGCATAGCAGTGGGTCGGGGCAGGCAGCAATCAGGGAAGGCTTTCGGAACAAGGGTGTTTGAGTAAGTGTGACCTAAGAGACTGGCAGAGCCTGAGAAAGAGGTTGTGAGGTGAGAGGATTGCAGGGGGTTAGGAATGGGAGAGGTCCTCTGCTCAGATGGCCACTGCTGGTCACAAACATTGATTCCTGCTTCTCCCCACTAGGCACACATCGTTCTATATAGTGGTCACCATGGCAGGTGCCTCCTTTGTGGGAGTTTTGAACCCCTACTCATCCACCGAAGTCTCAGATCCACCGGCCCCGCCCCTGAAGTTATCTAACCACTGGCTTTTCTCAGTCTGGGATCTTTCCCACTAACATTTTTTCTTTTTTTTAAAGATTTATTTTTCTTTATTTATGCATACAAAAACTGGGGTGTAGACCAGAGGTGTGGGGGTTGGTGAGAGGATTCAGACAGAGCAGGGAACAGAACAGGCAGACTGGCTGAAACACACTGCTGAGGGGAGCAGTAGGGAGACAGGAGAGGTCTGCCTCGCCATGTGGGTAGCTCCCTGGCCAGGGATCAAACTCAGGCCTCAGTGATGGGTAATAGTGCTGAGATTTAACCCCTATACCACGAGGGAGGCCTCACTGAAGTTTTGATCACATAGAACTAGGAGTATCTGTGGCCAGCTTTGTGTTGTCTTCCATCTCCTACTGAGAAGACCCTGGAGGGCAGGGTCCTAGGTTGAGATTTCTCTGGTTCCCACCAATGCCTATAAAAAGTAGACGCTTGTTGAATGTGTCTTGAAGGAAATTCAGGAATAAATGAATGAGTGATGAATGTTAACCTCAGTCATTTCCCTCCTCTGCTCACAACCCTTCCACCTCACTTGGTAAAAGTCCAAGTCCTCCTGGAGGTCCCCAAGGCAACCTGCTCCAGGTCCCCTCCCAGCCCTCACGTCCTCTCTCCCCTGGCTCACTCTCTAGCCACCAGGGCCTCCTAGCCTTTCCTCTAATACTCTTGGCATGATCCTGCCCCAGGGCCTTTGCACAGTCTGTTCCCGCCTCAGCCTCCGGTGCTCTTGCTTCAGTGGCATGGTTGGCTCATACCTTCTTCAGATCTCAGCTGCTGCCTCCTCAGAGAGACCTCCCTTCACCCTGATATCTCATAGCCAGCCAGCCACCCCGCTTCTTTTTTTTTTTAAGATTTATTTATGCGTACAAGAACTGGGGTACAGGCCAGATGTGCGGGAGGTGAGAGGACTACACCAGAGCGAGAGCAGGGAACAGAACAGGCAGACCGACTGAAATACACAGCTGAGGGGGGCAGCCGGCAAGACAGGAGAGGTCTGCCGCGCCCTGTGGGTAGCTCCCTGGCCGGCAGGGGGGAATCGAACTCGTGCTGCAGTGGCTGCGCCCAGCTCCATAGATCGCGTCTTAACCCCTTGCGCCACCAGGGAGGCCCCGCCCCTCTTCTTTTTCCACGATTGGATCCGTCGTGTAGCCTTTTATTGTGTGTCTCCTGTTTGTGCGTTTTGTTCTCGAGTCTCCCGCGCCTGCACCCGCACCTGCGCACAGTAGGCGCTTAACAGATCTCGGGCTGGGCAAAGGGCGTGTGCGCGCGGCGCGAGGTGCGAGGGCTCTGGGTCGGGGCTCCCTGCGGCCCACCGCGCCCCGCCCTCGCGGGCCTCCCGCCGGCCAGCCGGGCGTGCCCGGGCGGGCGGGCCGGGGCGGGCCGGGGCGGGGCGGGGGCGGGCGGCCGGGCCGGTCGGACGGGTGCGCTGGGCGCGCGGGGCCAGGGCCGCGTCCGGAGCGCCGGCGCGCGCCATGGAGGGGCTGCGGCGGGGCCTGTCGCGCTGGAAGCGCTATCACATCAAGGTGCACCTGGCGGACGAGGCGCTGCTGCTGCCGCTCACCGTGCGGCCGCGCGACACGCTCAGCGACCTGCGCGCCCAGCTCGTGGGCCAGGGCGTGTCCTCCTGGAAGCGCAACTTCTACTACAACGCGCGGCGCCTGGACGACCACCAGACCGTGCGCGACGTGCGCCTGCAGGACGGCTCGGTGCTGCTGCTCGTCAGCGACCCCAGGTGGCTAGGGGCAGGGTGGGTGGGGGGTTCCTGCTGGGGGCTGGGGTCTAGGGGGGCCTGGCCGGCGTCCTGGGGGAGCAGGAGGGAGCGGCAGGGGTCCCGGGCGAGGGCTGCGGATGGGGCAGGAGGGCTTGGCCAGAGTCCTGTCTGGAGGCTGGGGGCCCAGGGGGGCCTGCCTGAGGCCCCGGATGGAGGCTAGAGGGGCCAGGAGGGGCCGGGGTGCAGGGGAGAGGCTGGGGGAGAGGGTGCCCCGATGAGTCCCAGGTCGGGGTCAGACTGAGGTCCTGGGTGTGGGCTGGGGAGGCAGGTGAGCCCGGGTGGGTCCACCCTAGGGCAGAAGGGTGGACTAGGGGTTCTTCTATTCCCACCCCGGGGCTTCCCACCACTGCCCCACACCAGGCCTAAGTGCCGGCTATAATGGGAACTGGCTGGGGTGGGGGTGGGGGGCACAGAGAGAGGCAGGCGCTCCGGGACCCCAGGTGATGCGCTTCCCTTTTTTCATTCCTCTTGCTGGGTCAGCCTCTCGGGTCGCCTGTCTCTCCCCCTCTCTCAATGGCGTTGTCCCTATTTATTTCATTTCCTGTGTGTGACTCTGCCCATTGCTGTCTGATGTTCTCTCTTTTTCTCTGTCCTTTGTTTCTGCTCTTTTCTGTCTGTCTGTCTCCTTCTCTGTATCTCTGTGTCTCTGTCCACTTTGCTCTCTGCTGTTTTCCTGTAGAGAAGGGCATCTGGGTGGTGGGAACAGCACCCACAGAGTCCCGGGGCAGCTTTGGGACCTGAGGGAGACTGGTGCTTGGTGAGATGGACAGAGGTGGTGGAGCGGGGCAAAGTCAGATGCTGCACTGCAGGCTCTGAGCAGGGGAGAGACTGCAGGCACATGTATGACCATGGATTTATGGGGGTCACACTTGCTGAGCCCCTAAAGGCTTGGTGTGCCAATCCAGGGTGATGTTTTGAGAGCAGCAGTCTCAGATGCTGGTTTGGGAGGCTCCAGGTGGGATGGGAGAGCCTAGCTCCCCAAACCCTCTCAGTGATGACCCATGGGCTTGGGGCTGGAAGAGGGTGCTCTAGAAGTACAATTTTTCCTACAAAGCCTGGCAGCTGGATGACCCTCAAATGTCTACACAGTCGTTGTTCAAAATGCAGTAAGCATTTATGAAGTGCCTACTGTGTCCAAGTCATGTGCAGACAACTAGAACCCAGTGATGACCTAGACACACCAGGCTGTCACCTCACAGAGACTACTGTCAGTCAGGTGGAGGAAACAGACAAGGAACCAAATGTCAGGTTATAATACATGCCGTGAATAGATGCAGGAAGAGAGTGGTGCAGATGGTGCCACCTAGCAGTGGTGGCCATGGGAGGCTTCAGACAATTCAGGGTATGATGTGAAGGAACTGGTTACAAAGAGGTGTGAGTGGAAGGGTGTTCCAGGTAGAGTGAACAGCATGTGCAAAGGTCCTGGGGCAGAACCATGCTTGATATGTTGGAGGGACAGCAAGGACAGTGTGATTGGAGCAGAGTGAGGGAGAGGGAGGAAGTGAGGGCAGAGAGGGCCAGGGGGTAGGTCCTGAAGAGCCTCTGGATAGCACAAAGTACTTGCACCTTCACCTCAGAAAGGGTTGGGAGCCCTGGAGGGCTGTGGGCAGAGAACAGGTAGGACCTGACATGCTGGGAGGCACCTTCTGGTGGTCACTGCTGGAAGGATAGACTGTGGGTGGTATATCTGGAAGCAGAGGGGACTGAGGGTTTGAGTCTAGGGAACCAGGGTGGAGCTCCAGATAAGTGATAGTGAAGGCTGAACTGGGATAGAGCTAAATGCTGTTCCTCCAACTTGCTAGGCATTGTCATGCCTCAGCACTTTTGCACTGGCTGTTCCCTCAGCCTGGAATACATTCTACTTTCTTCCCTCTTTCTGTCCCTCCCTTGGGTCCTTCAGATCTTTATTCAGATGCCACCCTTTCAGTGCAATCTTCCCTAACCACCCTGTTTAAAATTGTATCCCACCAACACGTGTAATTCCCCACCCCTGCTTTATCTTTCCCTTTGGCACTTATCAGTAGCTGAATTTCCCTATATTTCATTAAATTTTTTCATCTCCTCTCTCCAACTAGACTGTACATTCTATGAAGGTGTTTTTATCCATCCTGTTCACTGCTGTGTTCCCTGCTCAGCATATGGTACATAGTAGGTGCTCAATAAATATGAGACGAATGTATTGTTTCCTGGAGGGATGGAAGGGCTCTTTAGTTGGGGGGAAGGTCTCAAGGTTGGAGGTGAATCCTGGCAGGTGCAGGAAGATGCATTGGCTGATGCTGAATAGATTGACACGGCCTCGAGTGCCAAGGCAAGGGCTACGTTTGACCTGCAACCTGTGCCTTTCTGACCTGCAACCTGTGCCTTTCTGTCCCCTCCCTTCAGGTAGTCTGGGTTGGAGCAAGTGGAGCCATGACCGAAGGAACTGGAGATGTTGGCTGAAGAAGCAGGCTGGGGTGTGGGACACCTTCAGGAGGCACTTCCTGGGGACTTTGAGCTCAATCCAGGTAAGTCACATTATTACTTGAGACATAGCAGGTACCTTTGAAGTTGTAGAGACCACAAATGGGAAAACCAAGGGCTAAAGAGGAGTTGGGACTCACTTCTAATGACCATCACCCATTTTGGACCCTGTGGTGGGGTCACTGACCTCACCTTCTTATTCCCATTGGGATTAGCATTGGGCCTGAATAAGAGTGCTGTGTGACCTTGGGCAAATAGCTCCTCTCTGCACCTTACTCCCCTCTCCAATCAAGAAATGGGTTTTGGTCTGGTTTGGTTTACTGAGAGCTTTGCCTACAATTCCTGCTTCTTCCACCAGGTGGCTCCAAAAGCTAATCTCTTCCCAGGAATGGCTTCCCAGGAATTTCTTCAGCCACACCCCTGATAAGGCAAAGGGCCATTCATTCCTGTCCCTCCTGGAGGGCACCAGGGGAATCCAGCAGGAGGACATGGCTGCAGGTGTTGCTGTCCACATTGGAGCTGTTAGGAGACAGAGAAGGACAATTGGACAGAGTTGGGTCTGGATTGAAATTGTCTTCTCTCCTCCCTCCTGCTGTTCCAGGTTCTGGGCTCCTGGGGTGGTTAGTGACACACTATCCTGATAAGACAATGCCTGGACACTGCCTTGGACACTCCTGATGGAGCCCCAGTACCTGACATTGACATAGAATGGTTCCGTCCCAACCCAGGCTGCCCATATCGCCAGCTGTGCTGTGTGACCCTGCGGCCATGTTCCCCTTCTGGGACCCTAAGTGTCCTGTCTGTACTGGGAACCACCACACCACCTTGGGAGGCTCACATCCGCAGCCAGAAGATATCACATGAAGAGAAGCACAGAGAGGAGCTGAGAGGCACTCAGGGGGCCTTGTACCTTCTCTTGCCCGAGTTATGTGTCCTGCCTGAAGCGCCTTTCTCACTCCTTTCTGCCGCTCCAGTCCAGCTGGGGCTCCAGACTCCTCCAGGAAGTCTTTCCAGATTCCCTCGTCCCAATCTCTCATCACCTTGTCCTTTTATGGGCCCCTATGGGCGGACAGTCTTGGCTGAGGGGGTGCAGCCAGTAACACAATAAATCTCCAATGACCAAAAGTGGAGACTGGGCAACCCCAGCCCTCTCCCAGCTCTCCAGTATCAGCTGCATCCATGAGCTCCCTCCCACCGCTGCATCTGTGCCCACCCTCCCCCCACGCCCCCACCACGGCGCTGTACTCCTTCCCTTGAAGTCCCACTGCCTTGCCCCCTTCACGGTGTCTCCCAGTTGGGTTTGAAGGGCTCTAGTCAAGTGGGTGGCGGTCTGGGGGTCTGCTGGGTGGGGTGTTGAGGAATGGGGGCATCCAGGCAGTGTGTTGTGGAAATTCTGTGTACAAGACTCTCCAGGCAGGATGCTGAAATTCGGCTGGCCCTGTGCCCTGCAGCCTCGTGGCACTGGATCCTTTGCGCAGACTCTGGGTGAGTGGGATGGGCACAGAGGCACAGGCCCACGGGGGCCTTGTTGGTGCCCCAGGCGCTGACTTTGCACAGGACAGAGGCACAGGAGCCTGAAAAGAAATAATGTTTTAATTAAGAGTGTTGTTGGCCGCAGGGCCCAGAGCACGGACAGGTGGATAATAAATTGCTGCTGAGGGGAGAGCTGTGCTCTCAGTGCATGTTTGCCTGTTGGGGGGAGGGCACCAGGCCCACCGGCTCTACTCCCCGCCTCTCCAACCTCCAGTGCCAGACTCTCTCCTCCTTGAGCCAAGAGGAGAGGGAAATGGATAGCTAGAGAGGGAGTGGGAGCAGAGGCGATAGAAAGACACCCCCCACTTCATTTGAGGGGTCTCCCCTTTCATTCCTCCAGACACCTGGAGGTGTAGTGGAGTGACATGGCTTTGCTTTCTCCAGGTGTGCCTGAGGTGGGTCTTTGGTGCCCAGCTCAGGGCAGGGTACACAGATACCCAGGGACGCCCCCCCACCCAGTGCCAGCTCCTTAAGGATCTTACTAGAACAGGCCTCCTACTCTCTCCTCTGTAGGAGGTAGACTAAGCCTTGAGGTGATTAGCAGGCACCCCGCAGAGGGCTTGGGACAGGGAGGCAGCCTTGATCCAGCTGGAGCCTGTCTTGTCTCTGGGTGACAGCCACACCCCTAAGGCAAGTATCCTAGGACCCTACTTGCAAAATCCTCTGTGCACACTCAGGGGCCCACCCACCCAAACTGGAAGAAAGTAGGGTGCTCCAATTCCTTGACCTCTGCTACATGCCAGGGTCTGCGCCACATCTCTGTGGGGTCTCAAAGTTCTCTGGACCACCAGCTGCGCAGTGGCACTGTTACAACCCATTTTACAGATGGGGCAGCCAAGATCACTGCCCTCAGAACTGCTGCACCAGGGGCCCCTGAACTGAGGCACCCCCAGATCATGCAGGGGTCCCTGACGGAGGGAGGGGGAATTTCCTGTTTCCTGACTGGGGGTGGGGGTGGGCAAGAGTATTTTCAGGGCATTTTGACATTTAACAAACAGTATGCAAATCGCATGCAAATCGCATGCAAATCACCACCCATTTCTTAAGCCTCGACAGCTCTGTCGTGTTCTGAAATAATAACGTTGGGCCTGCCCCTCAGTACTGGCCTGGAGGAGGGGTAGAAAGCCTTCCACTGCCTCCCGCTTCTCCCCATCTCTCCCTTGCTCTCTATTCCTCCCTCCCTTCCCCCCCTTCTTTGTCCTTCTCCCCCATTTTGTCCCTACTTTCTTGCTCCCCTTCCTCAGCCCTCTCTTCCTCTTTCCTTTTTCTTCTGTTTTCTCTCTCTCCCTCCACATTTTTTTTTTAAGATTGATTTATTTATGCATACAAGCGCTGGGGCACAGGCCAGAGATGCGGGGGGTGAGAGGATCCACCAGAGACAGAGTGGGGAGCAGAACAGGCAGACTGACTGAAATATCTGCTGAGGGGAGCAGCGGGCGAGACAGGAGAGGTCTGCCGCACCATGTGGGTTTCTCCCTGGCCGGCCGGGGATCGAACTCGTACTGCAGAGGCTGTGGATTGCTTCATAGTGCGGTACTCAACCCTCTGCGCCACCAGGGAGGCCCCTCCTTTTTGTTGGAGGACTTCCTGTCCTGAGATGAGCACAAACAGCTGCAGTGGCTTTTGGAATCCCCATTTTCTAGAGGGGGAAACTGAGGCCCTCATGGACCAAAGTGGATTATGGCCTCAGGGGGAGAAATGACAGCCACGGGAGCAGTTGGGACTTGAGAAGGCTCTGGTCTGGGCCCACCAGGGCTTGGCAGGGCTCAAGGTACTGTCCTGGGGTTTCTCAGCTTTAAGTGGCAGGTTGTCAAGCTTGGATCTGGAGAAATCTCATGTTGACTCGTCTTATTTCTCCAGTCCTTCTTTCTTCTGTTACTCCATCAACATGTCCCTCAAACTCTGCCCACAGCCCCTGTGCTCAACTTGTGTGCTCTACCTTTTCTGTTTGGCAAACTCCTATTCATCCTCAAAACCCCAGCTCCAGTGCCCACTACTTCATTCAGCCATTTCTGATCCAAAAAGAACCTTCACTTCCCTCTGGGCTTCTGTTGCCCCATATCTCTCTCTGATCTAGCCCTGACTACTTGGTCATTTTCTACTCCAGCTCCATTCCAGCATTGTCTGGTTCAAACATATCTCCAGACTTTGCATGTGTTTATACTCAGAATGCTCCTCCTGGTTATTCCATCTGGCACACCTAATATTTTTCAAGGTCTCGGCACTAATGCCCCACCTCCATGTGGGCTCTGCAGATCATTTCTTGACAGCCCTAAGGTCCTCCAGCTTCCATCCCTCCTCCTGAGTTACCCCTGAACCATGAGAGTAGAGATTTTCGTGTCCCCTGGTCTGAGGAGTCGCCTCTGGGGTCCCAGAATCCCACAAACTGGACTCAGTAGAGGGGCCATCCTTGACTGTGTAATGAATAAATATTGAACTACTTGCAAACAAAGTCAAGTAGAAACTCCTAACTTGGCCTTAGGCTTCCTGCTCCCAGTCTACAGTTCATTCCTGAGCACCTCCTTTGCCCTCCATCCTCACTCACTTCCCACCCTGGCACAAGCTCTTCCTCTGTCAGGAGTGTCTGTTCCCTGGACTGTTCTGGGTGACCCCAAGCCTGGTGTGTCCTCTCTAGTCTGCGAAACTGGGGGAAGCCGCCCCTGCCCCTCCGGAGCCGCTCAGGCTCCAGGCTCCACCCCAGGAGCAAGTCTGGGCTGTGAGGAGTTTCGGGTGAGACTTGGCAGCCACCACCTCTCACCGGCCCGCGGCGTCCTGGGGAGGGGCCACCTCCTGCCTTGGCTGCCCACTCATTTTGTGCAAGCGAGAGGCAGCTTCTTCCTGGGCGGCAGGTAAATCCTGGTGATTCCTAGAGGCAGCATCTGCGACTCAGCCAGAAATTGCTGGTGGCCAGACTTCCCCTTTCAGTTCCTCCCCCACCTCTAGGCTGGGGCCTGGACTTCTCTAGCTCTGCATTTGTTTAGTGGGCACTTCCTGAGTGCCCTTTGTGTGCTGGCTCTGAGCTGACTGCTGGAGAGACCAAGGCAGAGCCTGATCGGGCTGCCATGGATGTAGGGTAGGTTGTTCATTGCACACAACACCCAGCTGAAGTGAGAGGGTCTCAGGAAGGGGAACGGCTTGGTAATCCACACAGAGGCTGCCACACAGGTTGATGGTGATCCTGACGTGCTCAGGGTGCACTCTGCTCCCCTCCCCCCTCTCTTCCCCTCTTGCTCTCTGTCTCTCTACCGTCTCTTCATCTCTGACTCAGTCTCTTTCCCACGTATCTGCGCCTTGTTTATTGTTCTTTGTCTCTGCGTGTCTTTATTTCTGCCTCTCCCCAATGTCTATCTCGTTCTCTCATCTCTGGATCTTTATCTTTCTCTGCTGCTCTCTGTATCCTGGTGTCTGTCTCTCCTATCCCATGTCAAGAAGGACTCCGCTTTCCCCTTGATGCTCTGAGTATGAGCTCTGGGGCATTTTCAGAAGCTGCTGGAACCACCCATTCCACAATCATTGATTAAGCACCTCCAGTTTGCTGGACACCAGGGACAGCATGGTGACCAGGATACCCAGCTCGTCTCCCTGGGGCTGAGGGTCCAGCAGAAAAGACAGGGGACCTCCCAAAACCTCCCCTCTGGGCCAGTCCTGCTGTGAAATGAACTTGGGTGGTCCTTGTTCTTCTCTGGGCCTCAGTTTCCCCAACTACCCAAGGAGGGAAGTGTCTAGGGTGACTGGACTAGGAGCTGCTCACATGGCCCAGGCTGTATGTTGGCAGAGAAATCCTGACTCATCTGTGTGCCCAAATGGCTTTGAAAGAATCCTCTAAGGGAAAAGCAGTTGTAAGAGAAAATAGAACATTTGACCACCCAGACCTGCTGTCTGATTCACCCAGAGTGAGTGTGTGTGTGTGTGTGTGACTGCCATTCCCCTGATTATCCGGGAGACTTGCCTACCTCTTCCCTTGATGGTCCCTGGCTGTGTACTGAAGGCTGCTGGTGTCTCTGTGAAGGCTCCTGATTTAACATTGACCTCGAACGTGTGCTCTGAGCCCCAGCCCCACAACCCCTGTGCTGGGCCCACATAAGAGAGATTCCAGCGGCGGGGTTGTTGCCGTTTCTGCACGTGGCACAGCCTCCTCTGACCCTTTACCTTTCATCCCCCAGGTGAATGCTCAATGTCACTTCCTTGGGGAGGTCCTTAAACAAGTCACATTTCCCTGGTTTTGTATTCTCCTACTGTGCTGTTCTTTTCCTTTGTAGCATTAATTATTTATATTATTATTCATTCAATGTATGTTTTCCCCACTAGCCTGTGGGCACCGTGAAGGCGGGGACAGGGTCTTGTCTGATCACTGCTGGATCGCACAGCATTTAATAACCAGCAAGAGGGAGGGGAGCCAGGATCGCTCTCCGTTCCCAGGCTCAACGAGCACCCCCCACCACTGTGTTCCCCTCCAGGTGGCCAAGGGGCACAGACGCCTGGATTGGGATTCCAGGCACTCTGGCTCCTGCTGCTGTGATAAATGGGGAAAATTCAGAATTAATTATTGGCTGCTCCACCGAGCAGACTCGATCTGGACAGATAAAGAGTGTCCTCACCGCCGTGTCTACCCAGCACTTCTCAGGAGTTTATTAGAGATGAAGTAGCTGGCTGAGGGGAGAGACCCAGAA